AATCAATCAATCAATCAACAAGTAAAAATTGTTGGACATGTCAGCCTGAATTTGAATTAGATACCTTATTTCCAGAATTACAGAATATCATTTCTTGCCGTAGAATTCTCATAGCCCTCACTCACTCTTCCCTCTTCCTGCTTTGTCTCTTACTCCAATCCCCTGGTGAAAAAATATTTTAGGATGGTACAAGCGCAGCTTTTCAAATTGTAGCCTGTATCAATTGAAGCATAAAATATAAATTTTGCCATACAATCTTTTCTAAAATTCTTCACATCTACATTGCTGTTTTTAAAAAAATGAAACCACCATCATAAGTTTGAGGACAGGGCATGCAACTGTTCAATCAGAAGTGAATTAGGAATAGAATGTGAACGACAGCCCGTGGCGGAGGGAGGAGAAGATCCCGGGAGCTGGACCCTGAGCCGAGGTGCCGCGTCCGGGCGCCTGGGGCGGCCTGAGCGGTGCTCTCTGGGTTGAAGGAGGCCGGACCCTCACGCTGCTGCGCAGTGGTTTAGACAGCGGGCCTCCGGCCTCTTTGATGGGCCTTGCCTGCTTGCTCTTGTGTCCTTCAGCCCTGAGGGAACCACCGGGTGCGTGGGCAGCGTTCGTTGGAGCGGTACTTTCTGTCGCCTGACTTCCACCTCACGTCCCCTCTCCCCTGACCACACAGGACATTTCAATACACATGTTTTCTGGACTAGGAATAGGGATGGCAAATGTAATGTGCAATTTAAATAAATGATTTTGAAAAAATTTCCGGCTTGCGTTGTGTGTCATATGTGGGATCCCTTTATTTTAAGAAGAGGGTCTGTTTTGACTGGGCAGCTGGAGGTGGAGGGAGCAGGAGCCGGTGGGGACTCTGGCTGGGAGGGCCCTGTATACCAGGCTAAAGAATTTTGGACCTGCCCATTTTGAAACTTTATTTTCAAATTGAATCTGTCTGGGTAGTACTGGCGCTAACATCGCATGCGGCCCAGGTGTGTGACGGAGTAACGGGGACCCTGGTGCGCCCCGTTGCGCGCTCGCCGCCCGGGGCCGCCTCCTGCCGCCTTGGCCCTCTTCACACCCCCCATCCCGTCCTGTCCCCCCCCACCGCCCCCCCGTGCCTTGGGAACCGCCACTCTGGCATCGGGGTCTGTGTCTTTGCCTTGTTTGTGCGGGTGCTGTTTCCTTGTTGTGCACCCCACACTGGAGCGAAGCCCTTGGTTCTTTTCCGTCGGACTTACTTCGCTGGGCATGAAGAGCGCCCCCGTTGTTGCGGATGGCGGTGTTTCATTTGTCACGGCCGCCCAGTGTTGGCTTGGCCAGAGGTCCGTTCACTTTTCCTGTGAGATGGCTCTGATAGGGCCTCGTTGTCTTCAACTTCATTCAAAACAATTTTGTTAGATTGAATTGTGACAGCTCTCATATCAGCGTGCACTTAAAAAAAAACCCCACAAAAAACAGAACATCAAAGTTGGTGAGTTTTTGTGTAGCCATTTTACTATTAAAGAAATAAAATAAACAATATTTTTGGCATATTATGCTGTATTGTTTCAAGAAGGGTAAAAACTCACCTGAAATCCAAATAACAGATTTGTGCAGTATATGGAGAGGTTGCTTTGACTGATCGAACGCGTCAAAAATGGTTTGCGAAGTTTCTTGCTGGGGATTTCGCACTGGATCAGGTAGACCAGTTGAAGTTGATTGTGATCAAATTGAGACATTAATTGAGAACAGTCAGTATTATACCACGTGGGAGACAGCCAGCTACTCAAAATACCCAAGTCAAGCGTTGAAAATTATTTGCACCAGGTTGGTTATGTTAATTGCTTTGAAGTTTGGGTTCTACATAAGTGAAAAAAAAACCTTGACTGTATTTCTTCTTACTTAAATGTAACAAAAAACGTTCTGTTTTTAAAACAAATTGTGATGGGTGATGAAAAGTAGATACTTTACAATAATGGAATGGAAGAGATCGTGAGGCCAGCGGAATGAACCACCACCGACTGCACAGAGGCCAGTCCTCATCCAAGAAAGGTGGTGCCGTGTAAGCAGTGGGACTGGAAGAGAGTCCTCCATGACGAGCTTCTTCCGGAAAACCAAACAATTCATTCCCACAAGTACTGCCCCCAGCTAGACCACCTGAAAGCAGCACTTGATGAAAAGCATCCAAAACTAGTCAATAGAAAACGCATAATCATCCATCGGGATAAGGCAAGACCGTGGGTTTCTTTGATGATCAGGCAAAAACCATCATAGCCTGGCTGGGAAGTTCTGACTTATCCGCTGTATTCACCAGACATTGCACCTTCGGATTTCCATTTATTTTTGGTCTTTACAAAATTCTCCTAATGGAAAAATTCCAGTTCCCTGGAAGATAGTTAAAGGCATCCGCAACAGTTCTTTGCTCAAAAAGAAAAAATTTTGAGAAAATGGAATTACGAAGTTGCCTGAAAGATGGCAGAAGGTAGTGGAACAAAACGGTGAATACATTGCTCAGTAAAGTTATTGGTGAAAATGAGAAATGTGTCTTTTTACTGAGAAACCAAACAAACTTTTTGGCCAGCCCAATATTCCATTGTATATACCCATATTTTGTCATGTATAATGCACATTATGTTGCCCCGAATTTTTGAGGGAAAAATAAGGATGTGCATTATATATGGGTAGTCTTCTGGGATTACGCGGCCGTAATGCTTTTTAAAAGCATTTATCTATATAAATGCTTTTAATTCTTTACTTTATGCTTATGTGTTAAAAGTGTAATCCTAGAAAGCAATAACAATATCTGTACGCAAAATAATACCCTGGAATACGATAATCAGTTTTGTTTCTAAATATAAATACATAAAAAATTGAATTAAAAAATTAAAATGAAAGACTTTTCTCCTGAAAACGTGGGCCAAAAACGTGGGTGCACAGTATACATGGGAGCACATTATACACGGCAAAACACGGTATGTACTACATACTCTTTATGCAGTCGTTGGCTGAAGGACACTTAGGTTGTTTCCATGTCTTGGCTATTGTGAATAATGCCTCAGTGAACAGAGGGGTGCTTGTATCTTTATGGATAAGTGACCTCATAGTTTTGGGGTAGCTTCCCAGAAAATGCACTGACTCCCTGAGAGTGGGGGCCATTAAAGAAGTTTTTACTGGTGGATGACTTATTGTAAGTAGCATTATTTAATGAAGTGTAATTTATTCTCAGGTGATATTTAAACTCGGTCCATATATTTATATTTCATAGATTCATTTCTGACTTTTGCCATTTGTCCTTCAAAGTCACGCACTAGCCTTTCCCTCAGACCCGGTCTTGCAGCCCCGCACTGGAGTGCAGGGCGCACCTGCTGAGCCGGGGGGCCGCCCTCAGAAGGGCCGCCCCTGCCTGGATCTGTGATGGAAGCCAAACCTGCTTCATCTTTCCTTTCGCGCCTGCGTCCAGGTGTTGCGGTCCATTCGCGGGGACCCTGAGCCTTTCTGTCGCTGTTGGGCACCTGTGATCGCCACCACCCCGTGGCCTGCCCTTCTGTCCTGGCCCTCACGGGACTCCTTCAGGATCTGCCTGTTGCTCAAGATCCGCCACGCGTTGGGGCCCGTGCCCAGCCACGACCCGTCCGTTGTGCTCCCTGGTCCTCTGCGCTGCTCCCTGGGCTCCTGTGACTTCGTCTGATGAAATTGCTTTCTCCCATTAAATTGCCTGTTTTCAGTAGTAACCCTTTAGGTGCTAAATTTTCAAAAGCCAGGGAGCATGGCTTCTTATACCAGCACCAGCGGCCGCGTAATCCCAGAAGACAAGGAACGCTTTCAGAGCAGACCTCCGGGTTCCTTCGGAGCCACACTCGGCAGGCGGCCAGCCGCCCGGCGCTGCTGGGAAGTGGCCGGGGGCGCCCGTTTGTCCTGAAGGTTCCTTGTGAATGAGGGGGAGTGGAATATCCTCATCCTGTACTGTTCGCTGTCCTTTTGTACTCAACTGGAGGTGGTTTGTTTTATTGGGGAATAATAATTGCTGTAAGAAGTCTGAAGTTTTGTCCTGAACATTGTTAAGGTCTGTGGGTGGTTTTTCCAGACTGAAGATCTCTCCCATCAAAATACATTTCTTACCTTGAAGGAATGAGTGGTCCTTTTTTTCTTTCAGTAAGAAATGCTCCATGCCTACTGTCGTGTATTCCCCTGTTGGCTAAGTACTTCAGATATTCATACCCTCAGTGGTACAGAAGTAAAGAAAGATTTATACATCTAATCCCAAATCAAAATGTCATTTTGAGGAAATCCTACTTGATTTGTGATGAATAGATTGCTCTGTGTGAGACTTGCTTTTTCTAAGAGAAGGAAAGAGGCTGTTGAATAAACATATTTATTGATAATTTATATATTGATATAAAAATGGCATAGGTTAGAGTTCAGATTTATGTTTTTTGTAAACTAAAGTGATGAAACAAACAAAAAAACCAGCCCTGCCAAGACAGGCAGTGAAACAATTAGTTAAGGCACTGGACCCAGGAGCCAGAGGTGGAACCCTGGCGCGGCCTCTTGGGACGCATGGCCCTGGGCCAGCGACCTCAGTGAGGCTCCTTCCCTGTCCTTCAAATGAGGCTCATGACCATCCCTGCCTCAGGGTTTCTGTGCAGATCAAATGAAAAAATGCATGCAAAACACTTTGCTCTAGTAAGCAGTGACTGTTAGCACGCTCAACTTTGCTATTATTATTATTGTAGCTGTATTATAAAACTGACAGCATTTTTGAAATGTTGAATCATTTCAGTGCTCAAAGTAATGGATATAAAAGGTCCTTCTTTCTTTAGCCAAGTAACATCAAAGAAACAAAGATTTAAAATAATAGGTAATTGATAAGGACTAATTTTATTTATAAAAAAATGTTTTCCCTAGCTAGATGTAGAAGCAAAGTAAGGAACTTAAAAAGTAAAAATATTCTCCTAAAGTATTCTCTAGGAATATTTTTAGCATTGTAGAATTTCAGTATCGCATATTCACGTAACATCTTTGTGTTGCAGGGTGACATTGTTGGACATACTCATAGCCAGAATCGTGGGCGAGGAGCCCCTGACCAAGGATGACGTGCCTGTGTTTCTGAGCCACGCCGAGTTGGTTGCAGGCGCCTTCGTGGGTCAGTGCCAGACGGTGCTGAACTTGGCCTCCGGGGAGCGTGACGACGAGGTGCGAAGTTTCCTCACTCAGCTAGGTCCTCGCTGAGAGTTATTTTTTAAAAACTTTAAAAAAATATCATAAGGATCTACTAGAGCTTGGCTGTCTCCCCTTCCTATGTTGAAAACCTAATGACGAACGTGATAGTGTTAGGAGGTGGGGCCTTTGGGATGTGACCCGGCTATGATGGAGCTCTGATGAACGGGCTCAGTCCCTTTTGTTTGTTTGTTTGTTTTAACCCTCACCCGAGGATATGTTTATTGATTAGAGGGGAAGGCAGGTGGCGGGGAGAGAGAGACATTGATGTGAGAGAAGCATCGATTGGTTGCCTCCTGTACGCTCCTTGACTGGGGATCGAACCCGCAACCTTTTGGTGTATGGGACGGTGTTCCTACCGAGTCCCCTGGCAAGGGCGGGCTGGCACCTTTTTAAAGGACGCTCGGAAAGATCCCTCAGCCCTTCCACCACACGAGGACGCAGCGAGAAGCCGGCAGTCTGCGCTCCGGCAGGCCCTCGACTGAGCCCGCCGGCCTGGCCCCCTGGTCTCTGGCTTCCAGCCTCAGGAACTGCGTGTTGTTTATATGTCACCTGGTTTATGCCATTTTTTGTTAGAGCAGTTTGTGTGGACTAAGACAGTATCCTTATTTTAGAACAGTTAAGAAAATACAGATAAAGGAAAATGTCTTTATTCACAACCATTCAGAGTTAATGACAAGAATTCTGGTTAATATCTTTTTCTAGGCAGATAACATCAAATACATGGAAGCATATCTACACATATGCATACACAAATATACTAAAAAATGAAATCATTCTATGCTGTCTTTTTGTAAATTCCTGTTTCTTCTCCTGAATGTAAGCTCCATGAGGGCAGAAGTTTTGACTAAGTTCATAGTGTACTATGTATGTAGTAGGTGGGCTCTTAGCATATATTTTCTGAGTGAATAAACAGCCTTGTGAACAACTTTTTAAACTGGCAGTGTAGCACTCTGAGTAAAAAAGTTCATTTGTCCAGCTGCGTGGAGTTGGGCATTTAGGTGGTTCGTATTTCTGTTGGTTATGAATAGTGCTCTAGGGTTAATAGACGTCTGTGTAGTGACGCCTTGTGCACTTTCCTGCTTGCTGACCTAGGACACAGTCTTGGAAGGGGACTCCTGGGGGGAAGGGGTCATCCAGTTTCAAAGCTTTGACGCTCGCTTTTAAATGGCCTTCCAGGGTCTGTTTTTCCCGACCGACCGACCGGTAGAGGGGATTCCTGTCCACCCCCCGCCCTGGTTAGCTCCCTCGGGGCTCTCCCTCTCCCCCCCCCCTCCCCCGCCGCCCCTGGGTCGGTCAGGCTGTCGGACAGGCCACCCCAGCTCTCACCGACCGAGCCAGGGTTTGAACCCCCCCCGTTCTGTGGCAGGAGGGGACAAGCAGTGCCCTTGCTCACTGGCTCCTGGTCCTTCTGGAGGCAGGTTGGCCTCTGTTCCCAGCAGGAGGAGCTGTGCGCTGAGCTTCGAGGACGGTTAGACGTGAATTCTGTGGGAGACAGAGAGGGTGGTAAAACTTAGTGCTTGTCAAATCTCAACTTTGAATTTTTCCAGAGCACTTCTGTTTATAGTATAGGTGAGTTCAATATTGTAATAAGTTACTTGATGCTACTTTATATTTAGGAAAGTTTACCTTTTTCCTTCAAATAGTTGTTTCTCTAAGTGGGAGAAATTAGTATATATTATATCCAGAAAATTGTAGGCAGTTTTCTTTTGATAAGCCCGTTAGTGTATATATGTTATCCTTTCACTTAGAAGTTAAAGAAAAAAAAAGCTCCAGCAGTTTTTACCAGACCCCCTCACTTTAATATTGAACTATACTGTGGTGTACTGGCATTGGCCTCTACCGACCGCTGGGAGCCCGGAGTTTGCGAGCTGCTCTTTACGTCCTCGGTAGCTTGAAATTGGCCTTGGAGGAGTATCTGTACCCTGGAAATTGGTGAGTGAGCAAGTCAGGGCTTGCAGCTCCTTCCTCCTCTTCCTCAGCCAGTTTACCAGCAAAGCACTGCATGTGCCCATTTGTGGTGTTTTTAGGACAAGATATCCAGTCAAGCTCTTATAATCCTGTGACTGCAAAATTAGAACGAAAGGGTCATTTTTATCGCATCTGTTTTTTAATCCATGTGTTTGTCTGGCTTTCAGATCCTGAGGTTGTATTCCTATCTCTTCCTTTATAAAATAGTCTTAAAAGCTCATATTAATATACGTTTCTGTCGTTTGATATATTTTTGTGTACTTGTTTCCAGTTTTTCATATATTTCTGTCAGTTCTCTACTGCTTAATCTTTACGATTCAGTTTAGCTTTAGCTTGAGTCTCGGTATTATTTGAGGTGAGCCTTGCCCTTCTTCTGAAAGTTAAAAAAATTGTTTTTAGTTTTGCATTTTTCATGCTCACGTACCACGAGAACCGCCTTCAGGCGGCGGCGCCCTTGCTGTGCGCCAGCCCTTGCTCCCCGGCCACGGCCGTGCCGCCCTTCACGGAGCGGGTGCTGAACGACACCCGTGGGACGGGCTGAGGAGTGGCCTTTCAGTCCACATGCTGGTAAGGGATTCCATTTTTGTATTAAATAAATAATATATATTTTATTGTAAAAAAACAATTCAAACTGAAGTGGAACAGAAGTTAAGAGGCCCCCTTAAATGCCCAGCCCCCATCTGTTTTTCACAGATGTGTCGGCATAGACTTTTCTCCTGCCCAAAGGGTTTTTGGTATATACTCACACATCTGTTGTTTACCTTTTTTTTCAATTCTGCATATTCTGTTCTTCAACTTGCTTTTTTTTACTTACTGATATATATCCTGTACATATTTCCACTTTATCACATGTATGTATATGTAGCTCATTCTTTTTAATAGCCTACTAGTATATCACTGTATAAATAGACATTTCAGTTGCTTCCAGGTTTGTTTTTTTTAAAATTCTCATCTGATGATGTAATTATTTTAGAGAGAGAGTAAGGGGGATAGAGAGAGAGAGAGAAACATCAGTGTCAGAGAGAAACATCAATTGGTTGCTTCCCGTATGTGCCCTGACCTGGGAATTGAACACTCAGCCTAGGTCTGTGCCTTGACCAGGGATTGAACCCACAGTGTTTTGTTTTACAGGGTGATGCTCCAACCAACTGCGCTACCTGGCCAGGGCCAATTTTTTTAACCTTTATGAATAATGTTACGGCGAAGATCCTTGTAAAAATATCTTTGCAGTTTTGGACAAGTAAATCTGGGATTATAAATTGCTGAAAGTTGAATGGCTGAGTCAGAGAATATGTTTATTTAAAATTTTAGAAATATTTCTAAATGACATACCAGTAGAGCACCGGAACGTGTGGGTCTACAGCCCTTCAGGAATTTTATGTAATGATCATTTCTCTTTCATTTTTTTTCAGGGACCAGGGTGTTAATTTGTTTTCATTTGTACTTTTAAAATACATTTATTAGTGAGCATTTTCAGAAAATTAATGTGTAATATTTTTTGGAAACTTTTTCTTGTAATATTTTGTTTGAATTGACTTAGGGTATCTTAGCCTTTTAGAAGTTTTCTTTCTTCACTTTTAATCTGGTTAGGCTTATTAATTTTGTTCTATGGCTTCTGCAATTTTTTATATATTTAATAAAACCTTTTCCACTTAGGTTGCGGAAACTCACATCTTTATGTTCTAGGTCTTTCAATATTGTGTCTACTTTTTTTTTCCTCACCCAAGGAAATGCTTACTGATTTTTAGAGAGAGGGGAGGGAGGGGGAAAGAAAGGGACAGGAACATCGATGTGAGAGAGAAACATCGCTCTATTGCCTCTTGTTTGTGCCTGGATCAGGGAACCAAACCCACAACCCAGGTGTGTGCTCTGACTGGGAATCAAAGCCGTGACCCTTTGGTTTATGGGATTATGCTCCAACCGACTGAGCCACACTGGCCAGGGCTTTGTCTACATTTATGATTAACCTAGAATTTATTTTTGAGTAAGGAATGAAGTGTAGAGCCAAATGAATCATTTATGACTTTTGACTATCCAAGACTGTGAAATCTTTGGTGACTGCTAGTTTGGAATCATGATTCTTCTGTTAACGGGTGTAGGCTTTTGGAAGTGTTATTTTCCTCTCTGTGCCCAGGTTCTTCACCTGTAAGATGAACTGCATTTTAATACAGGCATCCAGTAGATGGACTGGTATGTAGCTAATGTTCCCTAAATGTTAGCTACTCGTTACTGTATCGATATCATTTAGGGAATAAATTCATCCTTTCCACTTAACACCTATATCATATATTCAAGTCTTACATATTTTTAGATCCCCGTCTGGATTGCCTGTTTTTTTATAGAGGGAAGGAAGACGGTATTAGCAGCTGGCACGAACTCAGGAGAGCGGCACAAGAGCGCGCAGGCGCGCTGGGGACGGACGCGCACGCCCCGCCCCGCGCGAGGCCGCGCAGGCGCACTCCAGCCGACATAGCTCTCCGCCTGTCTGTGCGCGGGAGTCGTCTGCGTTCTTATCGTTTTTGCTACGACTGGCAGTGTTGTTAAATAGCTCAGGGACACTGAAGGTCGAAGACAGGTTTTCTGAACAGGAGACAAATCTTTTTGTTCCTTCTCGCCCACTTGAAAATCTCGTCCCTCTGATTTGCCTGTGTCTGTCTCGGTGGCCCTTGTGCCTGAGTCAGCGGACGTAACTTTTCAGCGCTTACGGACGCTGGAAGGGCATGTGGCGCCTTACCTTTTTTTTTTTTAAAGAGGATATTTTCTGGCTCTTATTTAATTGTTAATTTCCAGATGTTCTTTAGAATACTTTATTAATGAAAGGATTCTAATGATTAAAATTGGGACGTGTTAGGCAGAAATCGTGTAAAGTTTTTGCGGGGTTTATTTTTGTTGATGTCATGGAATTTAGGAGCTGGAAGGAGACTTCTAGACCATCTCTTCCAGGCCCTACTGTCTGTTCATTACTGCTCCTGTCTCACCCACAGTGCACCTGTTCCTAATCCCGTTGCCCTGGATTAGAACCGCTTTACCGTACCCCAGGAGTTAATATTTTATATGTATCCCTAAGAGATAAGGAGCCTTTTCACACGCAAATGAAATACAATTAATGCATCTAAAAATTTAACAATAAAGGTTTAGTATCAAATCAAGTGGTTTATATGATCCCCTTTGTTTACTTTTTCCTAAAGTTTATTTCTTTGAATTGGGGTGCAAATAAGGGCCACAACATTGCATTTGGTTGATAGGTCTCCGATCTTTCTGTTTATGGGTTCCCTCCTCCTCCTCCCCCTCCCCGCTCCTCTTCCTCCTCTTCCTCCTCTTCCTCCTCCTCCCTCCACCCCACCCTGCTCCTTCCCCTTTGTCTCCTTTTTCCTGTGCTAGTTATTTGTTGAAGAAGTCAGATTGTTTTATCTGTGGAGTCTTGTAAAGTGTGGATTTTGATAACTGTGTCTCCATAGTGGTCTTTAACATGCTCTTCTTTTCCTTGAACTTCCTGTGAATGATGATTAGTTCTGGAGGCTTGTTCAGATTTGGGTTAGTTTCGTTTCTTTTCTTTTTTAAGTAATGTTGGTGATACGTATGTTTATCAAGAGGCTCATAACATCTGGTTTTCTCTTTTGTGATGTTAGCAGCTGTTAATAGTTATTAACCTAGACCCATCAGTTGTTAGAGGTTGCAAAATAGCATTCATTTTTCATTTATTAGCCGCAATATTTTATAAAGAGAATCTTCCCTAGGTGTCAACCATTGGGTTATTTAAGGCACAGTGTGTCTCCCTGAGCTTGGTTACCAATATTCAGAGTAATGAGCTGACTTGGTTGTGTCATCCAAAGATGACAAGTGCCTTGTTTTCTTTTACTCATTATGAAGCCTTGGCTTTAAGACCCCTTGGTGTCAGTCCATGTAGCTACAGTTCTTCCTGGTGCTCTGATGTGCCCTTGCTGGCTGGGGCGGGGGCTCTCGGGTCGCTTCTGAGTTTCTTCCAACATGATTCTCCTAGTTTCCGACAGCTTCTCTGCCACCTAGTGTGACAGGATGTCCTGGATCATCTTGTGTGTATCTGCCTCAGACCTAGAGCCAACAGCCATTGCCTGAGGAGAGAGGGTGTTGGGAGGTGGCAGTGTGGGCAGCTACCCACTTAACAAAAGAGGAGGCTGAAGCCATGCAAAGTTGATGGGTTTCTCGGGCCTTTTACACATGGTACTAATTTCAGGCTTCCTTTTTTTTTTTTTTTTTTTTTTAAAGGTTTTGTTTATTTATTTTTAGACAGAGGGGAAGGGATAAAGAAAGAGAGAGAAACATCAGTGTGTGGTTGCCTCTCACGCATCCCCAGCTGGGGACCTGGCCTGCAACCCAGTCATATGCCCTGAGTGGGAATCGAACCGGCAGCCCTTTGGTTAGCAAGCCAGTGCTCAATCTACTGAGACATGCCAGCAAGGGCAGACTTCTTAATCTAAATATTTTCCCCTAATTTTTTAAGTAGCAGATGAAGCTATTAAATAAAATTAAAGATACAAGGCATTAAAAATGTGTTGTTTCTATATATGTTGAGATATTTTTTAGATGCTATATTAAAATAGTACCTCTCAATTTCCTAGAGAATAATAAATACACATTTAGAAATAACAAAAGGAATTTTTCTTTTGAAGAATGTTATCTTTATGACCTAAATTATAACATCTACCACATTTTGTCAAATAATGTGTACTTTAAAAATGAGACTTAAAACCTGTACAAAAATTGCATTTTAACATTTCATTTTGACTCCTTGTTGCCATGCCATTGGTAGTTGTTAGTTTCTTGATCATGCAGCCTTATTTGAAAATAAACTCTTCTGTAGTTATGTGAACTAACATTTTCAAATAATGTATTTTCCATCTTACCAAGATACTGTATATACATTTATATTTGCCCAGAAATAATGCACATTCTTGTATCCAGAGTTCTTTCAACCATAGCATTTTACAGGATTCCTGTGGACAAGAAATTAATATAGTTCATGGGGTATTTGTATCTTTAAAGTAGAACTTGCTTGCTGGGAATGCTTTAAAAAGAAAGTATGTGCATAAATGTTATGTACATAGCTAGTAATTTTGAACATTTATTCCACTGTTGGAAGGTATTTTTGCTTGGATAAGAGCTTTTCTGATTCTCCGCTCCAAGAAGACCCAAAGTGACACGTCATCATGCATCCCTGATGGGACATCTGCCGTTGGTGCGCATGATTTGTGCACGTGCGTTCTTCATTTCTCCGTCTCGTTCCGGACGGTTTCGTTTCTCTCTGGCTGTGTTGGAAACACTGCCTCTTTAATAGCTACTGTAATATTTCACTGTTTTACGGCTCGTTACAGCAGTCGGATTATTCTGCTTGCATTAAACACTTAACGCTTTCTTCTTTAGGAGGCTCTGGCCACGATCAGGCTTCTGGACGTGCTGTGCGAAATGACGGCGAGCACGGACCTGCTGGGCCGCCTGCAGGGGCACCCCGGCTTGCTGGAAAGGGGCGTCGGTGAGTGGCTCGCTGCTGCTTTCAGTCGAGAAAACTTTGCCCGGTTTGCTGTCTCTGGGAGTTCAGACACAGAGCTGTAATTTCCAGAGTATTGTTATATTTTTGAGATTTGGGGGAATATTTTTTCCTGAGAGGAATTAGGGCTTTTGCCACCTCCCTGCATGCTGTTGAAGCCCAGATGCCTCATCAGCGCGTGGGGATCCTGGTGCCTGCAGCGCAGGGCGCCCACGTGGCGGGGGTGTTCCCTCAGCAGGGGCTGTGGCGGCGATGGGCACAGGCTTCGATGACCGTGATGATAGCAGTTTTTGTATTACTGTGGTTTCTCCAAATTTGTTAGTAAGATTTTTCCTAATTACATTTATGGGCAGAAAGAATAGTGCCTTATACATAGTAATTGAGTATTCGATTCTTATGAGAAAGTCATTTTTAAACAAGAAGCCAGTGTTTGACATATTTTAGATACTACCATCTTTGCTAAAAGATTGTTTGCAAAATAACTGAAGCAGCCCCTGTCCCTTGTTAGCGCTGTGTGTGGTTCTGTTTCTCACCGTGTGCTGGTTTTTTCTTTAGAAAAGGTTATACCTATTCCGGAGACCCCCGTGCTAGGACAGACGGGTCTGTGTCTGGCAGGCAGATGAGTTAGCGGGAGGCCGGAGAGCTGTAGGCGACGCGCAGTCGGCGCTTTCCGCTCACGTTCAGCGCTGCCAGTGACGACTAAAGCCCCGCGGACCGGGGCGGCGGGATGGCTGCGCAGAGGCAGCGCCCAGGGCCAGGGCGGCCGCGGGTCACCTCCCCGCTGTGTGGGGTCCCTGGCGTCACTGAACGTGGTGCCTGCCGCTGACAGGTCTGCTGAGAGGGTGGGAGGCTCTGGGGCGGCCGCAGAGCCCGCAGCTGTCACACTTAGCGACCAGCCGCTGCGCCGGTTCTCTCGCAGAGGCACTGAGATCAGGAGCCTTTTTCTAAGAAAGGAGGTGGGAAATTTTTAGCTACCTGTTCTCTGTGGACAAAGAGAAGCCCAAATGGGGGTGGTCATTATGGCTTATGTCCCCAAAATCAGTTGCGACAAATTTTAAAGCAAAAACAGAAGTCTTTTAATCATTATTTAAAGAAAGCTTTCAGTTCTCACCCTTTATTTTATTTTGATCCATTAAAATACATCATTTGTGCATGGAAAACTAGTTCAGAATACTAAAAATTTCTCTATGGAAAATGAAGTATGTTCTTTTTGTTCTAGAGCTTTTACGGCTGATCCACGCAGCCGGCAGCGACGGCAAGAACATCTTCAGCTCCTCGGGATGCTTGAAAGCAGAAGGCGACGTCTCCAGCGTGGCCGAGGGCTTCAAGTCCCACCTCATCCGTCTGATCGGAAACATGTGCTACAGGAATAAAGACAACCAAGACAAGGTACGAGTGCTTCCTCCCGAGGGTCACACATGTGACTTCAGTGAGAATGGAATCTTTAGGATTGGAATCTAGCCACTTTTTTGCAGTGAAAGCTTAAAGTGCTTACACAGGTGCTTGAGATATGTGTATGTATCTGTCCCCACAGACGAGCATCAGGTGCCATACTTGTCTGCGTTAGGGTTTGTAGTTTTGTAACTTGCATTATTTGTCCTTAGCATGTCTGAGCCAGTCCCCTTTCTTATAAGTTGGCAGTTTTTGTCCTAAGCCTCTGCACTTACACACTCTTACGTTGTCACGCAGAGGACAGTCAATAAAAACAGGTACTTAAAAAGCCTAGAAATTGTCAAACACGTAGGAGACATTTAATAAATAGTAGCTGTTATTGATATTATTGACATTGTCTTCAGAAAAAAGATTACCTGAGATCTGCGCCCCGCGCTCTGGGTGACAGCATCACGTGCATTTCTCTGGGAGTTTGAAATGGATAGAATATTAAGTCTTTGGAAACCCAGCAGCCTGCGTTAGAGACCTATGTTGTGCTGAACAGCTTGGAGGTAGTTTTACTGACAGTGTGAGAAGGTGATGAAAAAGGCGGCAGGGGAGCAGGACCACACGCTCCCGCTGAGCTGACCGGCCTCTGTCTTCCTCGAGCTTCACTTCAGGTGGCACCTGTGTCGCCTCATCGAACCGAGGGGGCATATATGGCAGATCGCATTTTCCCAAGAGGGCCACACAAATGTCTGTCATTCTGCGTGTCTCCCTGCGGTGGGACGTTGCTACTCCCCTGCGCGGGGTTGGCTTGCACTTCTCCGCCCCTTGAATTGGGATGACTAAAGCCCGGTGACAACTTTGAACAATGAAATACGGTAGGAGAGATCCAGGCCCATCTCTGTCATAGCCTGACCTGGCAGGCCCCACGTCTCACCTCTTAGAAATAGCCAGTCGCCTGTAAGAAGTGCGGGATCCCTGAGGTTGCCATGCCGAGTTGCCAGGTCACGGTGGAGAAGCCCTGGAGGATGCGATGCAATGAGGCCAGAGAGGGAGATGGAGCGAGGCAGCAGATGTGGGTGCGAGGACCCACCTTGGGGGCCACTCTCACGTCAGTTTCTCAGTTACCCCGCCCATGGCACTTCCTGAATCGGGAAGGGCCTGCCTGCTGGTTGCCCCGGAGTCCGTCACCTCCGCACTGTGGGAAAAAGTGAGGCTCGGGCGGGATGGCTAAGTTGCACGGGCTCTGATTTTGGTAATGGCCCTGTAGGCGACCGTGGGACCGATCCGCCTACAAATCGTAAGGATAAACTCTGGGCAAAAGACAGCTATGTGAGGACACTCCGATTTGACCCACACAGAGCAGACTTTGGAGTTGAATTGACACTTGGAACAAGGCACAGTGTGTGTCATGTAGAGCAGTTAAAACTCTGATAGAAAATCCACAGCGCCTTTAGCTTAAAGAATCAAAGGACAGTTTGAAGCAGCCACAGCCATGGGAAGGTAAAGGAGGGAATCCTGGGAAGGATAAAGCAAGCCCCAAATTCTCCGTGCTGCCCACCTGTGTCGCTGCCGATGCCTGAGTCACACATGTGGGGCAGGCACCACAGGGCTAAGCTCAGGATAAAATCGTTGTATTGAGGATGACCCTAAAGAACGTGCAGTTTAAGTCCAACTACGGTAATTGGCTCCTGAAACAAAAATAACCGAGTCCTTTAGAGGAATCTGATAGATCGCAGAGTGTCCACAGCATAGCACTTACAGTGTCCGGGACACAGTCCAGAGTGACTTGACACACAGGGAAGTTCTCAAGAGCAAAGCAGCTGATTGGCGGAGGTTGGCTGGCTATGCCGTGCACAGTGGTGGGTGTAGTGGACAGGCATTTTAAAGCAGTTGTAACTGTGCTCAAGAACATAAAGGAAAATGCTTTTAACAAATGAAAAGATATCGCAAAGAATTGAAACTGTAAAACAAAGAACCAACTGGAAATTCTACAACTGAAAAATGTAGTATCCAAAATAAAATTTTACTGAGTGAGATTAACAACTCAATGGAGATGACAGAACAAAGAAAAGAGTCAGTGTATGTGGAGAGAGATCAGTAGAAATTACCTAGTCTAAAGAACAGAGGAGACAAAAGACTGATAATAAGATACTCATTTTAAGATGCTAAATTGTGAGGCAGTATGTTATGCAGCATTTGAAAACTAGAATAATTCCTGTGAGATGTGGCACTGAACCAAACACCGGACAACCTGTTCTTTTATTTTGTCAGTACACTATTTCCACTCCTTATCTTCAAGCAGGCACGAGTGGAAGACTGCTAATCCCTTCCTTGGAAAATTACTGGACTGATCTTTGCAAGAGCAAGTTTATGGAGAAGGAAACACTTTACCCTGTTAATGACCAAGACTGTCTTTCTCGAGGAGCACAAAGGAGGTGTTTTTCTTGTGTTTAACTATTCTTTTGTTGCTACTTTGGATTGGCCTCTTATAGGAATAAAATGGAGGGACCTTTAAAAGGCTTATGAAATCACTCCCTGAAGTCAGGCTCAGATTGCGCCCTAAGCAAATACGGAGTGTGTCCAACTGCCGCTCTGCAGAGGCCGCCGGGCTCGCAGGAAGGCTGTGGTGTGCTCTCTCACGTGCGCCGTTGCTAATAGCACTGCTGATTTCTGAGCAAATACTCTCGAAGGCATGAAGGAGTTTGTTCTTTGAGTATAGGAATGCCTCTGTTTCTTCATTTTCTTACCTATGCCAACAAAAGGCCTCAAGCTAAAAGCATTACCTTGAGAATTTTTTTCTCCTTCCAAAGAATCAGACTCAGCATCGCAATCTCATTCTGAAGGTGCTGGAAGCTTCTTTACTCTTGAAGTCAAAACATGACTTTAGCTGGCTGTTATGGACACTGGCTTTGCTCACTGGAGGGGTGAAATTCATTGGCACTTGCATGACGTCAGTCACAATTTGGGAGACATGGTGACTGTGCAGCAGGTCTTTATCACCAGGCTTTAGCTCTCATCAGATTGTCTGGATGGATTGTCCCACTTTACCCACATTGGGGTCTAGCGGGGCACTTAGCTCTGTCTCAGCCCTGAGACCAAGGAGCTGAGTTGGGGGGATTTTGTATCATCCAGCCTTAGTCCCTTCTTCACCCGGAGGGAAAAAGGGATTTGTTGAGTGTGTGGTGCCTGGTGAGTTACGGATGTTGTCAGTGTACCCGTTGCGTTCAGCGCTGCAGAGCAGGCCCGCTGACCACATTCTAGGGGCTGCATGCAGTTGGTGGGCTGCGGGGCTCAGAGCAGAGCTTCGACTCGTCTCACTGTGAGCACCTGGGCTCTCATCCCTGTACTGGGTGCTTCTCATTCGAGAGCTTTCCCACTGTGTGGAGGAGCAGGTTTAAAACAGGCTTCCTAACTGACGTGAAACAGAAGGTGCCAGACCAGCCAGGCCTCTCCAGCCCAGTCTTCGTTCACGTGTGGCCATCTGGGAAGGCGCACGTCTCTGTGTCCCAGCCGTCCTTTGTCCCCTGGGAGAGTGCCCCGCCTTGGGGGTCCTTGGGTGGATGGGATGGATGGTCCTCTCCACCTGGGGGGCTTTCGCCCTCGGAGCATCCAGAGACCATCCTTGCCCTTGGAACCAGAATTCCAAAATTACTAATGACACGCGAGTCCCAGAATCTTGTTTTACCCGAGCGCTCTTAGGTGGGATCGGAAGCCAGCCAAGCCCGCTTGGGTCTCTGTGCTTGTCTGAGTGATTGGTGACTTGAGTGTGGCACCCGCTCGGATGGCGTTTTTTCCGACTCGTGTGGCGCTGTCCCTCTTACAAAGTCCTTTCCATCTGCATGAGTTCATTGGAGCCATATGACACTTCTGTGGAAAAGGCTGAGAAGGTAATTATCACCATTTTTTAAATGAAGAGACCACGGCTGAGGGAGACAGCAGTTTAATGTGCTGTGTGCTCCGGAGAAGCCAGTCGCCTTCCCAGGCGAGCTCACGAAGGAGCGGGTGCAGACCCAACAAGAGCCCGCGTCGGGAGGCCTGTGAGCTGGCAGCGGGGACGGTGCGACCCTCCGGGCTGCTGTGCCCGCAGCAGCCCTCTGCAGGGACGGAGCCGGACGGTGGGGGCTCTGGAGTTCTAGGGAGGGCCCTCTGCTTCCTTTTGTCCGCGTCCTCGGGCTGGACTTGGGAGAGTGGGGTGGCGGCCTTGGGTGGGGAACCCGCTCAGCACTGGCTCTGACCCCGTCTTCCCTGGGTCTTGAACTCATGTGTGCAACATGAGGGGCGGGAGTGTGTCCTGAGTGTATATGGCTTCCCTTTACCTGGCTCGGGAGGGAGGTGCTCTTACCACCGACCGACTTCTGTCTTCGCCTTGTTTGGGTGCTGACTCAGGGCATTTCCTCGCTGCATCTGTGGCGATTAGTGTACCTGGAACCCTTGCGGCCCTGAAATGGAGATTCTTCTCCGTGTTCTGTGTAAGAAGCACATGCTGTCGGCACAGAGAAGGCATTCTTTGGCTCGCTTGTTAGAATCAGGAACACATGGTTTACTTTTTTCCTTCCCCATTCCTTTTTTCCTCACTATTGTCATAACTTCTTTAAGTGAATGCTTTATTAGGAAAAATAAATCAAACCTATTTTTTTTAAACCGAAACTACATGCATTTTTTTCCACCACCATTTTCCTCCAAAGACATTGTCTTGACTAAGATGGGCCATCCATGGTTTTGGCTGTTGAATCTTTCCCGCCAAAGGTTTTACGGAAGTGCTGTTCCGTGTCCTTCCTCCTCCCTCATAGAAAAGGCTGCCAGCACTCCCACGTGTGCTGGCCCGCGTGTTCGGTCAGAGGCACACGGGCACACTCGTCACAGGCTCACTTCATTTAAAGAGGAAGTCGGTGCTGCCGGCAGGTTCGTCATGTAAACCCAGCCATATGGCCGCTTCGATCCAGAATTATCAGTATGAAGGTAGGTTTTATTTACATACATAAAGAATCTTTGTGACGCATTTTTCATTA